AATCCACAAACCCCAAACGCAACACGTGGTGAAACCAAAAAGGTCCAATCAAAGCACTTGCCACACCGGAACGAACGAATAATGGGAAGCCCTCAAAAACATGAAAGAAGTACACTAAAAACCTAGTGTAACCACTAAGAAATTAAACCCTAGACCTCCCATTTTCTAGACCAAGCACTTAACTAATAGACCACCAATGTTTCTCAAAACCTCAAGGGGACACAACATTCTTAACCCCCTCCAAGTCCCTAAAACCCAAGATCCCCAAATCAAAAACCCTTCTTCTTCTTCTTCCTCCCACTTTCCCTCTATCTCTCCATCTCCCTCCTCCCTCGACAAAACACCGCTGCGCCACCGCCGATCGCCCAACAGCCCCCGGCCAGCACCCATAGGAAGCCTGCTGCCCCCACTCCCTGCAGCAACGCCGACCACCTGGATGGAACTCCATCGCCGCAGCAACGCCCATCCAAGCCGCTGCCCGAGCACGCCACCGCTACCCGCAAACCACCCGGCCGTCGCTCGTCACCAAGCCGGCCAGCCACCGCGCCACCACCATAACCGCGCCGGGCACGAGAGACCCTCGTCGAAGCCGCCGTCTGCCACGCCCACCGGAATTATCGCCGGAATTCCATCGGAACTTCCACTGGAAAAGCTACCGGAAAACCACCCTGACCGTAACTACTTCAAACAATACCGAAGAAGCCCGTCGATACCCGAGTCCTGGAATGGAACAACGCCGACTACACGGTGATCGGAGGTAAAGCACTCGAACCCGACAAATTCTCTCCGAAGTTGGTCGATATGCTTAGATTCCAAGGCCTTTTGGATACCTATCTCATGATTAAAGGAGATACGTACCCCGAATTGGTAAAGGAGCTCTATTGTAATTTGGTAGCCACTAAACGGGGGGACAAGTTGGAAATCACCTCCAAAATCCGGGGCAAGGAAATAGTGCTCTTCGAGGGCCGCTTGGCTAAACTCCTGAAACTGACCTCCCCGGGTGTGTCAGACTATGACCGAAAGGCATGGGTTAGTTCCCAAAACACAGGGTACGAGGATTACCTAGTGTAACACCCCATGTTACGACCTCTAAACCAATTAATTATTTAATCATTTTCCCAAAAGAAATAATTAAATTTCATTAATTAATTAGGAAGAGTCCACCATAAGCCCATAGACCCTTATCCGTAAAACCAATCACTTAGTCCTATAAGAAATATAATTAGCAAACCCATACCATTTAGACCCTAATTGGGACTCTTAGATATATAAATAGGGACATAGGAGGCACCTAGAACCCACACCACAATAACTTTCACCAAACAAGAATTCCCAAGAATTCCCATAGGAGAAATCAAGAAAGAAGAGATCGTAAAGAAAGACCCTTCATAGCCAAGGAATTTAATTAAGGCTAAGAGGTAACCCATGTCTCAACAAAACCTATTTTCCGTGCTATAATCTTCTTCTTTGGCTCCTTATTCTATACTTGTGTCTTGATGAAATCTTCTATGATAATTGTGATATGATCTTGATAATTGCTGAGATGATTTTATGTGTGGTCTTGATGATCTTGATGATGATAAGAGGATCTTGATAATTGTGTGATGTTCTTGATAAATCTTGATGTTCTTGATTTTTAAAGATAAAGCATGATTGTGTGATTTAAATATGATTAGAGCCCTAGGTTGAATCATGAATTTTGTATAGGGATATTCTTGGTATATTTGGGGTGGGAATTCAAATGTTCGGGTGTTGATTATGTTTAGAAGTCATGATAGGATGTGTTCTATGTGATTCTTGCTTTTGATCCGTTAATTGTCTACGTGGTGTCATCAATTGCGTTTAAAAGTGTCTAAGCATGGTTTCGGGTTCCACGGAGGATCCCGGGAAGTATATTTTGGAAAAGAGTCAGTGGGGGGTAGGTGGGGGTAGGGGGACCCGCCAACTACCCGCTGCCCAACTTTGACGCCACCGGCAGCGGGCAGACGTCTGCCCGCCGGGCACCCGCTGCCCGGAGGACCCCGCCGGCGGGTGATCCTCCACCCGCTGGAATTTGCCCACTTTGGGACTTCGGCTTCCCCGTTTGATGTTCCCCAACCCCCGTGGTGTCCCAACGGACTCCGTTTGTCATGCATGAGTCTAGTTGATGTTTCGGGTACCATTCGCAGGATAAAAGAGTCTTGTATATTGCATGCTAGTTGAATCGGTAACCCATTGGCCTAGGAGGAAGATGTATGAACCCCTTAGGACTATTCTTAGTATGTGGATAATCACGCATAAGATTATTTATACGCTTTCCCCCTTCCCAATGTGCTAATATGTGTTGCTATGTGTTATGTGAGCATGATACCCCAATTTGGTTGGGATCAAATTGGTTATACACGAGCTGCGGTTCGTTATCTGGGCTGCGGTCAAACTGGTTACTCATGAGCTGTGGTTCATTCTCCTGGCTACGGTCAGTGACTCACTTATAGGGCTGCGGTCCACATGAGCCTCGTGTGCTATGGTCCACCGACTGGACGCGCCAGGCGGTGTGTAGGGCCACTAGCCCGAGGAAGGCCATAGTCCACCGAATAAGTGATCAGGCGGTGTGTAGGGCTATGATCGGCTGCGATCCACTGAGTGTATGTGTCAGCGGTGTGTAGGGTCGTAGTCCCCAAAGATCATTGCCCACCGAATGAGTCTCTCAGGCGGTGTGCAGGGCTTTGATCCGCTACGGCCCACCGACTGAGCTCGTCAAGCGGTGTGTAGGGTCGCAGTCCCCAAAAGAGGATCACAGTCCACCGACTGAGCGCATCAGCAGTTTGTAGGGTTGTGATCTGCCATTGAAACTATCGACGGTCTATACATGTGACACCCCGTAATCCAAATTCAATTAAGGGATTAATAGTCGGGGACTAGTAATTGACTAGTCAACCCCAAAGTCAAAGTTGTACCTTGAGCTTTGTAGGGAGTTCCCTTGTTCCCTTACACCTCTTCATGTTAGTAAGGGTATTCTTGACTTTTCACCTTGTGTTAGTATTGTAAGCTAACCTAGTAGCACACCCTCATTTCTCTCCTTATACTTTCCAAATTCTAGCTCCACCTTCTCTCTAAAAAGGTAGATAGCTTTTCTTCCAAGCCAAGTTGAAGCTTTGTCAAAACTTCAAGAGTTGTCTCCAAGATTCTACCTTTCATACATCTGGGCATCTAGGAGGATAAGATCTATGTTCATCTTGTGTTTTTAGTGTTTTCTTAGGTGTCTTTTCTTAAAGATAGAATCTTTATGATCTTTTGGTGTGTTCTTGAAGTGAGTTTGGAAGGTGAGCTTTGTTAGGATCTTGGTGAGGTGTTAAGTGAAGGTTTTTTTATACAAGAGGTAACCCATGCTCTACAAAATATATTTTCCTTACCTATTTGATGATTTCTTGGATTCTACATGTGATTTTGCTATGAAATGTGAGTGTTTATGCATTGTCTTGTTAAAATGCATATCTAGAGCTCACTACTACAAAAAAGGGCTTTAACGTCGGTTATTTTACCCCTTTTAACGTCGGTTTTCGACCGACGTCTAGGCAGCAGACGTCGTAAATAAAGAGATACGACGTCGGTTAAAAAAACCGACGTCGTATAATTTTTAAAAGGCAAATATTAACATACGACGTCGGTTATTAAGAAAAAACCGACGTCGTACATTTTAAAAATTAATTTTAATTAAGAAACGACGTCGGGTTTTTAAAAAAACCGACGTCGTATGTTTAAAAAATATAATAAATTCACATTAGACGTCGGTTTTTAAGAAATAACCGACGTCTTATGTGAACTATAAAAATAAAAAAAAATTAAATTTATTGTTTTGTTTTTTTGACGATTTTCCACTGAATTAATCCTGTACAGCTTTTACAATCTGTCCAGCAATTTGATATTCAAAATCTCAAAATTGATCGAACTAATAAATATTACAATTAATTTATAAAGGAACTCAAATCATCTAACTAAACAAGTTAAATTAATAGTAATTCTACAATTGATAATAATAATAATAATTTCATACTTAAATTATCAACATCAACTAAACATCAAGCATTGTTTTTACTCATTCATCAATAAGATACATAGATCACACATCTCTAACTTCATCAATCTCATATTGATTGTAGGACAAACCTCTTTATCTCTTTAAATGCTACAAAGTTGAAAAAAAAAAAAGTGAGTAATCAATGACTCCCCCCTATAATAAACATCATTCATAAAACATCAAGGGGATCAATATCAATCAACACCATTCCTTAACACGCTATCTCTTTCAGCACATAATGACTCCCCCTATAACATGCGTCTATTCCACAATGAAATGAATAGGGCCAAATAGTGAAATAATGGAATAAAATGGAAATATAAGAAAAATCATCAGAAAATTCACATTCTTAATGGCATATGCAGCAAGTAAAAAGTGAGTAATCAAGGGGATAAATAAGGAAGTAAGCATTGAACTCAACATTAGTAACAGAATGGAATTTGTTTACTCTAGTAATTAAAGCCTTGGGGAGAGGAGTAGCTTCCTTTATTTATTATGTCTCTTCCAAATACTCTTGTATGCCTATATATTGATCTGTAATCTGAAGTTAGGAGTATGAATAAGAAACCTTTCTAGCCTTTTAACAGAAGAGAAGACAATCATAATTCAAAAGACACTCTGACCCCTTTCCCTACCCAAAATTATAATCAACAAAGACAAACATAAAATCAAAAACATGTGATTCATTGTAAATTTTGATAAAAGAATAAACAAATAGCTCATTTTAAGGAGATACACAAATTCCCAGCAAGTTAATTCACATCATTGACTCTAAAAAATTTTATCAGGCCATTACCTGTATGTTACGCATTTTGCTGGATTTGCCGGTGTAATTGCACAATCCAATCCATATAACCATTTGTACCACCAACCTGGTCCTCAACTAGATTTCTTAGAAGGAAGAATCCTTCTCTCGGCTGTTCACCTTGCCTCACTTCATTATCTTTGTCTAAACTTTCTAAGCAAGCCCATCAATTTTCTTGACACTTCATTATCTTGCTCATGCAGGCAAACCTGATTCTCAAGGAGACAAAGAATAGCCACATCAGAGGAAATTTTACAAAATTAAGTGCAAAATAAAGCTAAGGTAGCATGTCAACTTTGGCAGAGCTATTTTCTCTTTTTTCTTTTTTATTTGTTGTGGGGTAGAACACAAGGCAGGGGGGAATAACCTTCCTTCGTAGGAAGTAGAATAGAAGATTATCTAGAGAAAAATCTAGATTAAAGAAAGACAAACCAAATCAGCATTTTCCATTCCTCTATTTATGTTCCACCAATGGAATGAAATTCCATCCTCATAATGGAGGGAAAATGAAATTTAAATTTTCCATTTTTCCCAATTTCCATTCCCCCAGAAAATTACACACTAGCTTTATCACACATGCATATAAGAGCTTTCCACAAAAAAAAAAAAAAAAAAAAAAAAAAAAAAAAAAAAACTTTTTAACTCAAAGATCATTATCATTCACAATTAAGCTAGCTATTTACAAAAAGGCAGTGGCAGTCAAAATAAATAGACCACTGTTTGATGCCATTATGAATATGTATCTCAATAATTGGGGAGGTTTGAGTACAAACAATGGATTCCTATTTGACATGTAGAAGTTCATTATTCATGCAATTGATTTTTCAAATTTTCAGGAAGCTAAAACATGACAGTGAATTATGAATAGCAAGCCTTGTAGAGTTCAGATCTAAAAGCATAAACAACCAAGTCCATGGTGTATCCTACCTTTGAGAATTCTGCAGCAAATTCATCACCCAATAAACTCTTGATGATATCTGTTGAAAGCATTTTACCAAACCATATAACAAACCGAAAACCATCATCATAGATATAGAGACCTCTGACATCTAAGCTATCTACAGTAAGCGGCAGCCTTTTCAACATGTTCTCGGACTCCCCAGTCAAGGGGGATGTCTGAAAATCAGAGAGGAATTTATTAAGAAATCCAGAAATAGAGGGAAAGTAACTTTCTCATAGTGAACTGAGATATCAATAATAAGTTCTTCAATTTAATCAGCATCTATTAATAAGGGAAAAAGAAAGAAACTTACTTTCAAAAGATATTCATTTACACGAATCAGGTTAGGATACAAAAGTTTCAACAGTTTTGCAACTGAGGGCTTTAACAATTCTCAGTTGAATAGAACTCCGAGCCTCCAATTTAGTGGAGAGAATTTTCTCAATTGCTGCACATAAAAATCATATTTGAGAGATCAAGAACCACTTTAACCTACATTCAAAATCAAAGAGGAACGGAATGCAATGAAAGAAAAGTGATTTTTTTATACATAGCCTAGAGAACAAAGATACAATTGCACCAGCATCAGCAAGGCGATACATTTCTCCTAATTCTGCAACCACAGGTGCTACTGCTGTGTGTACCCTAATACGTCTTTCTCCATAAGAGGATGTGTACCTTCATACTATTAAGGAACCCTAAATTTCCCAAAGATAAGAGGAAAAGCTAAATACCTGTGTATTCAATATCAAGTAGAAATTTCATCTCCATACCAAAGCGTGGTGGCGCGGCGGTGTCCAAAAGCGTCCAGCGAGGGCTGTTGGGGCGACACGACGGTGCGGTGAGGGGTGAGGCAGCTGGCGACGGCGGTGGCGGCGAGAAGAAGGAAAAGGTGGAGCGGCTGTGGCGACGAAGGTGGAGCAGCTGTGGCAACGACGGTGGAGCGGCTGTGCGACGAGCAGAAGGAGACGATGTGGCGAAGACGCGACGGTGGTGGAGCGGCGGTGTGGCATGGAGACGAGGATGGAGGTGTGGCGTGGAGAGGAGGTGGAGCGGCGGTAGGTTTAATTTTTTTGTTTGATCTGATCTGAAGTGTGAGCGGCGTTGTAATTTCAATATGATAAGCAATATTTATTTATTTTTTTAATACAAAATGATTACGACTTCGGCTATTTTGAATAACCAACGTCGTACCTCAGATAAAAAATAAAAAGTAAAAAAACGAATAACTATACGACGTCGGTTAGTCTACTAACCGAAGTCGTATAGTATATTTATTTTTTTATTTTTTAAATTAATATGTTACGACGTCGGTTAAATGAATAACCGACGTCATATATTTTATAAATTTTATTTTTTTAAATTTTATGGACTTACAGCGTCGGTTTTTTGACAAAACCGACGCCGTAAGTCTTTTAAAAAAATATATAAATTTAGAAAAATATATAACGTCGGTTTTTCATTTAACCGACGTTATATCCCCGACGTTGTAAGTGATTTCTGTAGTAGTGGCTTGTGTTTAGGGTTCATGTATGCCATTGTTTGGCTATTCCTTTGATTGAAGTCATTTTGTTGTATTTGGTGAGATTTGGCATGTTTTGGACTTGAATTTGAGCTTGGTGTTGAAAATCCCCGAAGGGATTATTTTGGGCACAGGTGTGTACTCGCGGGCGGAACGGCGGGCAGAGCCCTACCCGCCGCCCCACCCGCGGGAACGTGGCTTGTGGGTGTTGGTACCCACGGGCGGAACCACGGGTAGGGGCCTACCCGTGGGTCCACCCGCGGGGTACAATGTATGGTTGTTGGGGGATTTGTTCCCCGTGATTCTTTTGACTCGGTATTTGGTCTTTTGACTTCGCGATGTTCTTTTGTGGAACTATTTGAGTGTGTTCTTGATGTTTCGTATGTCTAGAACTATGTGGTAGGAATCCATGTAGGTTTTGGTGTCTTGAATCGTGCTAAGTGTGATAAGCATGCTAGTTCGATGTTTAAATGCTAGCATGTGTGTTGTTTGTACTTTCCTATTGGTTGATGATAACTTGTGTTATTCATCGTTGTTGTTGTTGGACTGTGATCCACTCCTTGATTGAGTATGGTTTCATATCTTCGTTGTGATCCGTTGATTGATTCCTGTTGAGGTGTGGTGTGTGTGGCTTTACCTGGATTGCACGATTAGTGGTACGACACACTAGTCACCAAGGTATTGCAGTGGTCCTCGTGGTGGCCATGACGTGATTATGGAGTTGTGACCTTTGTGTAAGGTTCACGTATTTCTTGGGAGGCATGTGTTTTTGTGTGTGTGATCGGTACCCTCGTGTACTGTGAAATCGGTGGTTCTGTTCGAGGGGAAACGACGGTTCCCGGAGGAATAAGGTTGGACTTGGTGTACAGGGATCCTTGGATAAGGATAAGCACATTAAGCGATGATAGACAGTTATATAGAGACAATATCATAAAGAACATGTATCTAAGGTCACCGTTCACATTCAAATCATTCACATTATCATTCAATCATCATTCAAGTCACACAAGCATACTTTGGTGGCGCCACGGGACCAATCGCATGCCCCGAACATGAGGGTTAGTACATATAGTACAAACACGGCTCCGCAGAACCCTACCTCATACCGCAGCATGAAGGGGTTGATCGCAACCAACCGTATAGACCGTCGACAAACTCAACGGCGGATCACAGCCCTACACATCGCTAACGCGCTCAGTCGGTGTACTGTGATCCTCTTTAAGGGGGGGACTGCGACCCTACACACTGCTTGACGAACCTAGTCGGTGGGTCGTGGTAGATCAAGCCCTACACACCGCCTGAGGGACTCATTTGGTGGGCGATGATCTTCGGGGACTACGACCCTACACACCACTGGCCCATACACTCGGTGGATCGCAACCGACCGTAGCCCTGCACACCGCCTGACACTAGTACAGATCTGCACATCCGCTACCCTTGTAAAGGGCTATCCGCTACCCTTGTACAAGGGTAGCGGATACTAGGGTCTCTGAAAACCCTGAGCTTTCCGCTACCCTTGAATAAGGGTAGCGGAAAGTTAAGAATCCGTTACCCTTCTTTACATAGAAGGGTAGCGAATACCATTAATTTATTATATTTTTTAAAAACAATCCGCTACCCTTCTTAAAAAGATGGGTAGCGGATTGTTTTTTATAAATTAAAAAAAAAATCATTATTATATTTAAATTTCCCAATTCTTTTAAAATCCTATACGGAATTCATACACTACATATCAACATAATACTAACCATCAACAAACTATCAATCAAAACACAATATTATCAACATACTAAAATATAATTTAAATATACATAGTTCTATTTAAATTTTCTATATCATAAAAAAGTTCTGTCCAGACGAAAATGCACAATGCCAAAAACAGTTACTGCTTCTGAAATTACACTAACAACAGTGTACAGGTGAGACAACTTAATAACAACGGAGCTCACCTGACTGTGTGACAAGAAGCCGATGCACGTTGTAAGCATTAAAGCTCCAAAACCAGCATACACAATTGGCACCCCTGGGTCGCTCTGAGATGCAATATTAGTAACGTTTCAGCATCTTTATAAGTGAGAAGAAAAAACCAATAAAAGAACGGTTCTAGAACTATTCTAGATAAACGACAAAGTCTCGATTCCCTTAGGATTTTACCTTCATGTCAATGCCAGTGCTACCAATTGCATCTACTATCATAAAGGATAACTTACTGCAAGTCACGCGCTAACATTGATCTGGATTCTCACAAATAGAAGGGGTAAAAACTAAAAAGTGTTAAAAATCAGCATATTTGATAAAGATACCACATGGTGGCCCAATCCTTTGGTGTATGGATTTATAGTCTTAATAACAAAACTTACATTCCCTTGACATCAGGAGAATCAGCAACGCCTATAGGCAAGAATGTACCGAACAACTTCTTGTCTGCGTTGATCTTTAGAGGTGCCATAGCCAAATTAAAAGGCCCTTCATCATCCTTCATGATCTGTAGGGCTGAGAAACTCCAATCTGTTTGGTATATAGTTATGCAGTTTTAATCAGCACACTATCATCATAAGTTTTGTAAGACTCCACTATGCAAGGAAGATCCAAGAGAGCTGCAGGGAAGTGCTCATTTCCTATGACAAATGTGCCACTCCTACCATCCTCTAGAAAACAAACTAACTTTTAACAAATCACGAACAAAAATAAACATGAACATATATGGCATATTGCATTGGATAAGTAAAATATTTCTAGTAGAATCATAGCTTAAAGCAGACAATATATTCCTTACAACACAAGTTCATATTGTTCTGTTCTAATTCAAGGATAGCTCTTTGCAGACTAACATCTAGCAGCTACCATGAAAACTTGTACTGTTTACATGAATCAATTAACTAATTATTAAAATGCATACATCTAATTTGGGTCAAAATTTCAAAAACTATTACAATGATACCATGATTTTGAGAGTAGAGAAGTAGGAAACTTCAAAAATATACCAGAAAATGACAAATCCAGTCATTTGTCTTCTAAAGAAGAAGCATTCTCACTCAGGTCAATTCGCTCAGCCACAGAAGGGGGAACCCTGAGTATGAATTGCTCCTCCATGCCTATACATTAGTAAACATGGACATATTAACTTAATACTAATGTTTAATTCATTTAGATGAGGTGCTAAATAGTATAGCCTTGAAATTAAAGCAAAGACATGACAAAGGTAATCCACTGATCAACACTGAAACAAGAAACAAGATTGCATATTTATTTAAAAAAAAAAACAAAAACAAAAACAAAAAACCTCAATCATCAACAATGAATTCTGATTCAAAATTTAGACAGTGATTATTATAAAACAAAAACAAACAAACAAACAAAAAACATAAAACAATTACTCTGTATATGTTTTGAAACGCTGATAACATTATCGTATTTTAGTACAAACAACTCTTTAAAAAGTCATGAACTCTTTTCATAAGCCTATACAAACTCATTAACAAATCAGGATATGTGTTTAGAACAAGAGATAAGTAGAAAATAAGCTTATCGAAACTGGGCCTAAGTACTGAATGCTTCTGAGGGAGTGGACAAAAACCCTGTTGGCCCAAGCACATCGACAAAGCCACTTATTATCGACAATGCCTCTCCCATTGTAGCTTAGCACTTCTTTCTCTGTTGCTGTCTTTGACTGCACGTAGTTCTGCAAACAGAGCATCAACACAACTATTTTTTTTTTAAAAGCTGCAGATATATACAACATACATACATATATACCACAAACAAATCAATGTGGTAAGGGATTGGGAAATTGGAAGGAGTCCAACAAGTCTCGTCCATGGAGTCTTTGAAACTGGTGGCGTCTTCGTGTG